TCTGCTGCCGTGTATGCGTTTCCAGTATGTCTTGCAGTCATTGTTCTCAGTGTGCAGGGGCCTGATAATGTGACCTTGTTTGAACAGTTTGCAGAAAGGATATCCACAGTGACGCTGACTGGCTGAGAATCAACTTGGGTCTGTTCTCGACAACAGCTGACTACTCTGATCTCAAAGACTTGAATATCTCTGGGTAAAGTGCCTCGTTTTGTGTTGTCTTGACCTTTGTCAGCAATACAGCTAGGTGTTTTCTGTCAAACGACGGCACCGCAATTACAGGGTTGGAAAAATACCTTTAACGCAATTTCTTTTCTTTCTTCCCCTAAGGTGGTGGTCCTGGACTCCCTTTCTGCACAACAGAAAGCAGAGCTGATACTAGATCCATCCAGTGGTGCTCTAGAGAATGAGACGCTGGTGAAGGAAGTGCTGACAGGAATACTCTCATCCTCTGGGAAGGAGCAGCTCTATGTGTTCTTTGAGACTTTTGTCAACGTCACCGAAGAGGTAAGCAGTACTTGTCTTTGAAATGTATACATGACATGAGCCAACACGGAAAAAAATGAAGATGGTGGTCATGTGTCAAAGTGCGTAGAGTGGCCTTAAACCAGTGAATTGTTTCCTTTCTAGGAACAAATTTACTTCATTGAAAACGCAGCTGTGAGAGACACAATTCTGAATGTGACATTGACGGCTCTTGCTCCCAAATTTAACGTCTTCCCACCGAGTCAGTTTGAGTTGTGGTTCCAAGAGAATCTTTTCGTTGTACTGGCCAGTTTCCGACCCTCTTGGTTGCTCGTGATCCCTAGAAACCTCAGCTGTGACTCCTACAAGGCAATGTGAGTGATTCCTTTTCTTTTCCTTGGACTATTTTTGGAACACATATTGGCTAAGATGGTTGGTGGCGCGAAACGGAGAAACTGAATGATTTCTGTTTAACACAGTTTGAAAGGCATGGATATGAGTCTGGCAGTCCTTCCACGCGACCTTGATCAGAACCTAAGATCAAGCAGAGAAATGCTGAGCCAGACTTTGCCAAAAGGTACACGATTATCTCAAATTCCAAAAAAAGGTAAGTGTCTCCTTAGCGTTCTCCCTACCATCAGCTAAATGTTGTATTTTCTTTACTCCTCCCTAGATTGCACAGTGCCCGTCCCTGTTGGTGTGGTAAGTAACATTCTGTTATTAACTGCTTTATCTTACGTTTGTAAACGGTGAAATGCACAAAAAACTATTAACACTTGCAAACATATTTTATCGCCCTGTTTTTTTTTTCTTTAGTGCAAGAAGACAGTAGTAGATGGTAAGTGATCAAAACATTTGTTTCTTAAAATTTCTAATCTTTCAGATCCAGTGTCACAAAAAGATTTCTCAGTAGGCTGATGCTGACTTTTTTGATGCATTTTCCTTGTTTTGCAGCATCACGCGTTTGTCAAGGGGTAGGGAGGTGAGTCTTGGTGTTCTAAAAGGGTCAAACAGTGTAAACGTGTGAAAACAATTACAGATGATTTAACAGAATCTTATTCTCTGCAGTCCTCCACTTCAGAGTCAAGTGTCCTTTGGAAACGTCTCTGCACAGCTCTGCAACTTTAGCATCTCTCACTACGCCTGTTCATCAGTAAGGCCTCTGTCTCTGTTATGAATCATGTTGACGGTCATACAACCACAGGAACTTCTTTCCATCTTTGCTTACACCATCTTCTGTTTCAAGGTGGTGGCTCTGTCCTCCAGTGATCTGGTCAAAGTCATGGCATGCAAGCTGACCAGCAGCATGAACTACAGCAGGGAGATTTGGAATCTTTTCTTCCAAAAGTTTGCAGCACCTCTGGATGAAGCCCTGGATGCCTACTCCAACATGGTAGAAAACACTCTTGAGCAGTACTACAATAAAAAGGACGTATTTGCTTGAAATTTTATGCTGATGTATCCCCTTTTTTCTCATTTAGACCCTCAACATCAGTCTGCCTGACCCATACGTTCTTGATGCCATCGGTGAGGTGAAAGTCAACAACTTCAGCAATGCACAGCTTGCGGATTCCGTTTTCATCACCAAGTGGTTCCAGACGAGGCTCAGACCATTTTTGTCATCAGTGTCCGTAGACTTCCTCTCTTGTCTCAGTTCCAAGAACTTCAGCTGTCAAACCTACCAAGTTGTGTAAGTATGGAGTGCGGAATTTCAGGACACCGCAGGTGGAATTTATGGCTTGAGGTTTGTAAAGAACAAGCATACAATCCATCACAAGATCTGATTTCATCCAACTTAGGGTGGAGGCTTTTAGCAGGCAAGATCAACTCATGGAAGAAGAACAGAAATGGTCCATCTTTACTTATTTCATCTATCCTTTCCTCTCAAGAGACGACCTATCAGGTATTTGGAGAAATGTTGCTTGAACACCTGAGCTGCCCTCTCTTCTTTAGCTTCTTTTCTTTTCTTGTATCTTCAAAAGTTAGACTGCTGGTCAACTAAATGCAATGAACCATGTTTTCTTTCTAATGTTCTGACTGTGTTCACTGCCGCCCTGTTATCATTTTAGATCCCGGTTGTGTTTCCAGCGCTTCTGGCAGCGGTGACTGGCTAGCAAAGAACCTTGGCAAGTTCTCCATCTATGCCACCTTGGAAGATCTTGGAATTCTAAATGAAAATTTCTCCAGCGTAAGTAACATCAGGCTTGCATCAATTGTACCTTGGTTGCGAGTTTGACGTCGTCTGTCGGCCCCGGGCGCTAAAGCTGGTCTCTGTGTCCGCTTTGTTGCAGTTTGTCTCTTTGGACCTGCTGACTCCTAGCCAAGCAGCTGAACTCACTCTGTCCTCTGGAGCACTGAACAGTACAAGTCAGATCAACCTAGTCTTCTACCGACTAGAGAAAGGCGATGCTTTCAAGAATGTGGATGAGTTTTTCACAGCCCTTATTGATCAGGAGGTAACTGATATGCTTTCTCTGTCTGAAACCTCTGGCACAACAATCCTTGCATTGTGGTGGCATCTGTGACCTGACACGAGACATTCGCTTGAAGTACCACTCACACCTGTTGCATTGTTTCTCAGCAGGTTGGCAAAATCATCCCTGCGGTGAGAGATGTGATGATGAATCTAACCTTCAAAATCATCAGCATTAAGTTTCCACAGTTTGAGACCTCTGACTGGATCGACTGTTTGAGGTCAAGCTGACCCCTGTCCTTGCAAGTTTCACTGCAGAGATGCTAGCAACAGCCATCAACAACACCACCTGCACTAACTACCGAGTGATGTGAGTCTCTACTTTCAAAACTGTGATTTGACAATGTCATCCAGTGTTGTACCTATGCAACCTAGAAATGAAAGGAACGCAGCGGTGGGAGGAAGGTTGGCGAACCATGGACAAGTCTCTGTCTCATCAAAGACATTGTTGTTTTCTCGCAGTGTTTCAGGAATAAGCAGTGTGTTCTCTAAGATGACTGCCAGCAGGAGGGAGGAAATAACAAAGGTTTTAGTCAAACACCTGAAGAATCTTGCTGCACAGCTAAACACACCAGGTAGATACCCCTCTGCGCGCTTCTGCTGCCGTGTATGCGTTTCCAGTATGTCTTGCAGTCATTGTTTCTCAGGTGCAGGGGCCTGATAATGTGACCTTGTTTGAACAGTTTGCAGAAAGGATATCCACAGTGACGCTGACTGGCTGAGAATCAACTTGGGTCTGTTCTCGACAACAGCTGACTACTCTGATCTCAAAGACTTGAATATCTCTGGGGTAAAGTGCTCGTTTTGTGTTGTCTTGACCTTTGTCAGCAATACAGCTAGGTGTTTTCTGTCAAACGACGGCACCGCAATTACAGGGTTGGAAAAATACCTTTAACGCAATTTCTTTTCTTTCTTCCCCTAAGGTGGTGGTCCTGGACTCCCTTTCTGCACAACAGAAAGCAGAGCTGATACTAGATCCATCCAGTGGTGCTCTAGAGAATGAGACGCTGGTGAAGGAAGTGCTGACAGGAATACTCTCATCCTCTGGGAAGGAGCAGCTCTATGTGTTCTTTGAGACTTTTGTCAACGTCACCGAAGAGGTAAGCAGTACTTGTCTTTGAAATGTATACATGACATGAGCCAACACGGAAAAAAATGAAGATGGTGGTCATGTGTCAAAGTGCGTAGAGTGGCCTTAAACCAGTGAATTGTTTCCTTTCTAGGAACAAATTTACTTCATTGAAAACGCAGCTGTGAGAGACACAATTCTGAATGTGACATTGACGGCTCTTGCTCCCAAATTTAACGTCTTCCCACCGAGTCAGTTTGAGTTGTGGTTCCAAGAGAATCTTTTCGTTGTACTGGCCAGTTTCCGACCCTCTTGGTTGCTCGTGATCCCTAGAAAACCTCAGCTGTGACTCCTACAAGGCAATGTGAGTGATTCCTTTTCTTTTCCTTGGACTATTTTTGGAACACATATTGGCTAAGATGGTTGGTGGCGCGAAACGGAGAAACTGAATGATTTCTGTTTAACACAGTTTGAAAGGCATGGATATGAGTCTGGCAGTCCTTCCACGCGACCTTGATCAGAACCTAAGATCAAGCAGAGAAATGCTGAGCCAGACTTTGCCAAAAGGTACACGATTATCTCAAATTCCAAAAAAAGGTAAGTGTCTCCTTAGCGTTCTCCCTACCATCAGCTAAATGTTGTATTTTCTTTACTCCTCCCTAGATTGCACAGTGCCCGTCCCTGTTGGTGTGGTAAGTAACATTCTGTTATTAACTGCTTTATCTTACGTTTGTAAACGGTGAAATGCACAAAAAACTATTAACACTTGCAAACATATTTTATCGCCCTGTTTTTTTTTTCTTTAGTGCAAGAAGACAGTAGTAGATGGTAAGTGATCAAAACATTTGTTTCTTAAAATTTCTAATCTTTCAGATCCAGTGTCACAAAAAGATTTCTCAGTAGGCTGATGCTGACTTTTTTGATGCATTTTCCTTGTTTTGCAGCATCACGCGTTTGTCAAGGGGTAGGGAGGTGAGTCTTGGTGTTCTAAAAGGGTCAAACAGTGTAAACGTGTGAAAACAATTACAGATGATTTAACAGAATCTTATTCTCTGCAGTCCTCCACTTCAGAGTCAAGTGTCCTTTGGAAACGTCTCTGCACAGCTCTGCAACTTTAGCATCTCTCACTACGCCTGTTCATCAGTAAGGCCTCTGTCTCTGTTATGAATCATGTTGACGGTCATACAACCACAGGAACTTCTTTCCATCTTTGCTTACACCATCTTCTGTTTCAAGGTGGTGGCTCTGTCCTCCAGTGATCTGGTCAAAGTCATGGCATGCAAGCTGACCAGCAGCATGAACTACAGCAGGGAGATTTGGAATCTTTTCTTCCAAAAGTTTGCAGCACCTCTGGATGAAGCCCTGGATGCCTACTCCAACATGGTAGAAAACACTGTTGAGCAGTACTACAATAAAAAGGACGTATTTGCTTGAAATTTTATGCTGATGTATCCCCTTTTTTCTCATTTAGACCCTCAACATCAGTCTGCCTGACCCATACGTTCTTGATGCCATCGGTGAGGTGAAAGTCAACAACTTCAGCAATGCACAGCTTGCGGATTCCGTTTTCATCACCAAGTGGTTCCAGACGAGGCTCAGACCATTTTTGTCATCAGTGTCCGTAGACTTCCTCTCTTGTCTCAGTTCCAAGAACTTCAGCTGTCAAACCTACCAAGTTGTGTAAGTATGGAGTGCGGAATTTCAGGACACCGCAGGTGGAATTTATGGCTTGAGGTTTGTAAAGAACAAGCATACAATCCATCACAAGATCTGATTTCATCCAACTTAGGGTGGAGGCTTTTAGCAGGCAAGATCAACTCATGGAAGAAGAACAGAAATGGTCCATCTTTACTTATTTCATCTATCCTTTCCTCTCAAGAGACGACCTATCAGGTATTTGGAGAAATGTTGCTTGAACACCTGAGCTGCCCTCTCTTCTTTAGCTTCTTTTCTTTTCTTGTATCTTCAAAAGTTAGACTGCTGGTCAACTAAATGCAATGAACCATGTTTTCTTTCTAATGTTCTGACTGTGTTCCCTGCCGCTCTGTTATCATTTTAGATCCCGGTTGTGTTTCCAGCACTTCTGGCAGCGGTGACTGGCTAGCAAAGAACCTTGGCAAGTTCTCCATCTATGCCACCTTGGAAGATCTTGGAATTCTAAATGAAAATTTCTCCAGCGTAAGTAACATCAGGCTTGCATCAATTGTACCTTGGTTGCGAGTTTGACGTCGTCTGTCGGCCCCGGGCGCTAAAGCTGGTCTCTGTGTCCGCTTTGTTGCAGTTTGTCTCTTTGGACCTGCTGACTCCTAGCCAAGCAGCTGAACTCACTCTGTCCTCTGGAGCACTGAACAGTACAAGTCAGATCAACCTAGTCTTCTACCGACTAGAGAAAGGCGATGCTTTCAAGAATGTGGATGAGTTTTTCACAGCCCTTATTGATCAGGAGGTAACTGATATGCTTTCTCTGTCTGAAACCTCTGGCACAACAATCCTTGCATTGTGGTGGCATCTGTGACCTGACACGAGACATTCGCTTGAAGTACCACTCACACCTGTTGCATTGTTTTCTCAGCAGGTTGGCAAAATCATCCCTGCGGTGAGAGATGTGATGATGAATCTAACCTTCAAAATCATCAGCATTAAGTTTCCACAGTTTGAGACCTCTGACTGGATCGACTGGTTTGAGGTCAAGCTGACCCCTGTCCTTGCAAGTTTCACTGCAGAGATGCTAGCAACAGCCATCAACAACACCACCTGCACTAACTACCGAGTGATGTGAGTCTCTACTTTCAAAACTGTGATTTGACAATGTCATCCAGTGTTGTACCTATGCAACCTAGAAATGAAAGGAACGCAGCGGTGGGAGGAAGGTTGGCGAACCATGGACAAGTCTCTGTCTCATCAAAGACATTGTTGTTTTCTCGCAGTGTTTCAGGAATAAGCAGTGTGTTCTCTAAGATGACTGCCAGCAGGAGGGAGGAAATAACAAAGGTTTTAGTCAAACACCTGAAGAATCTTGCTGCACAGCTAAACACACCAGGTAGATACCCCTCTGCGCGCTTCTGCTGCCGTGTATGCGTTTCCAGTATGTCTTGCAGTCATTGTTTCTCAGGTGCAGGGGCCTGATAATGTGACCTTGTTTGAACAGTTTGCAGAAAGGATATCCACAGTGACGCTGACTGGCTGAGAATCAACTTGGGTCTGTTCTCGACAACAGCTGACTACTCTGATCTCAAAGACTTGAATATCTCTGGGGTAAAGTGCTCGTTTTGTGTTGTCTTGACCTTTGTCAGCAATACAGCTAGGTGTTTTCTGTCAAACGACGGCACCGCAATTACAGGGTTGGAAAAATACCTTTAACGCAATTTCTTTTCTTTCTTCCCCTAAGGTGGTGGTCCTGGACTCCCTTTCTGCACAACAGAAAGCAGAGCTGATACTAGATCCATCCAGTGGTGCTCTAGAGAATGAGACGCTGGTGAAGGAAGTGCTGACAGGAATACTCTCATCCTCTGGGAAGGAGCAGCTCTATGTGTTCTTTGAGACTTTTGTCAACGTCACCGAAGAGGTAAGCAGTACTTGTCTTTGAAATGTATACATGACATGAGCCAACACGGAAAAAAATGAAGATGGTGGTCATGTGTCAAAGTGCGTAGAGTGGCCTTAAACCAGTGAATTGTTTCCTTTCTAGGAACAAATTTACTTCATTGAAAACGCAGCTGTGAGAGACACAATTCTGAATGTGACATTGACGGCTCTTGCTCCCAAATTTAACGTCTTCCCACCGAGTCAGTTTGAGTTGTGGTTCCAAGAGAATCTTTTCGTTGTACTGGCCAGTTTCCGACCCTCTTGGTTGCTCGTGATCCCTAGAAACCTCAGCTGTGACTCCTACAAGGCAATGTGAGTGATTCCTTTTCTTTTCCTTGGACTATTTTTGGAACACATATTGGCTAAGATGGTTGGTGGCGCGAAACGGAGAAACTGAATGATTTCTGTTTAACACAGTTTGAAAGGCATGGATATGAGTCTGGCAGTCCTTCCACGCGACCTTGATCAGAACCTAAGATCAAGCAGAGAAATGCTGAGCCAGACTTTGCCAAAAGGTACACGATTATCTCAAATTCCAAAAAAAGGTAAGTGTCTCCTTAGCGTTCTCCCTACCATCAGCTAAATGTTGTATTTTCTTTACTCCTCCCTAGATTGCACAGTGCCCGTCCCTGTTGGTGTGGTAAGTAACATTCTGTTATTAACTGCTTTATCTTACGTTTGTAAACGGTGAAATGCACAAAAAACTATTAACACTTGCAAACATATTTTATCGCCCTGTTTTTTTTTTCTTTAGTGCAAGAAGACAGTAGTAGATGGTAAGTGATCAAAACATTTGTTTCTTAAAATTTCTAATCTTTCAGATCCAGTGTCACAAAAAGATTTCTCAGTAGGCTGATGCTGACTTTTTTGATGCATTTTCCTTGTTTTGCAGCATCACGCGTTTGTCAAGGGGTAGGGAGGTGAGTCTTGGTGTTCTAAAAGGGTCAAACAGTGTAAACGTGTGAAAACAATTACAGATGATTTAACAGAATCTTATTCTCTGCAGTCCTCCACTTCAGAGTCAAGTGTCCTTTGGAAACGTCTCTGCACAGCTCTGCAACTTTAGCATCTCTCACTACGCCTGTTCATCAGTAAGGCCTCTGTCTCTGTTATGAATCATGTTGACGGTCATACAACCACAGGAACTTCTTTCCATCTTTGCTTACACCATCTTCTGTTTCAAGGTGGTGGCTCTGTCCTCCAGTGATCTGGTCAAAGTCATGGCATGCAAGCTGACCAGCAGCATGAACTACAGCAGGGAGATTTGGAATCTTTTCTTCCAAAAGTTTGCAGCACCTCTGGATGAAGCCCTGGATGCCTACTCCAACATGGTAGAAAACACTGTTGAGCAGTACTACAATAAAAAGGACGTATTTGCTTGAAATTTTATGCTGATGTATCCCCTTTTTTCTCATTTAGACCCTCAACATCAGTCTGCCTGACCCATACGTTCTTGATGCCATCGGTGAGGTGAAAGTCAACAACTTCAGCAATGCACAGCTTGCGGATTCCGTTTTCATCACCAAGTGGTTCCAGACGAGGCTCAGACCATTTTTGTCATCAGTGTCCGTAGACTTCCTCTCTTGTCTCAGTTCCAAGAACTTCAGCTGTCAAACCTACCAAGTTGTGTAAGTATGGAGTGCGGAATTTCAGGACACCGCAGGTGGAATTTATGGCTTGAGGTTTGTAAAGAACAAGCATACAATCCATCACAAGATCTGATTTCATCCAACTTAGGGTGGAGGCTTTTAGCAGGCAAGATCAACTCATGGAAGAAGAACAGAAATGGTCCATCTTTACTTATTTCATCTATCCTTTCCTCTCAAGAGACGACCTATCAGGTATTTGGAGAAATGTTGCTTGAACACCTGAGCTGCCCTCTCTTCTTTAGCTTCTTTTCTTTTCTTGTATCTTCAAAAGTTAGACTGCTGGTCAACTAAATGCAATGAACCATGTTTTCTTTCTAATGTTCTGACTGTGTTCCCTGCCGCTCTGTTATCATTTTAGATCCCGGTTGTGTTTCCAGCACTTCTGGCAGCGGTGACTGGCTAGCAAAGAACCTTGGCAAGTTCTCCATGTATGCCACCTTGGAAGATCTTGGAATTCTAAATGAAAATTTCTCCAGCGTAAGTAACATCAGGCTTGCATCAATTGTACCTTGGTTGCGAGTTTGACGTCGTCTGTCGGCCCCGGGCGCTAAAGCTGGTCTCTGTGTCCGCTTTGTTGCAGTTTGTCTCTTTGGACCTGCTGACTCCTAGCCAAGCAGCTGAACTCACTCTGTCCTCTGGAGCACTGAACAGTACAAGTCAGATCAACCTAGTCTTCTACCGACTAGAGAAAGGCGATGCTTTCAAGAATGTGGATGAGTTTTTCACAGCCCTTATTGATCAGGAGGTAACTGATATGCTTTCTCTGTCTGAAACCTCTGGCACAACAATCCTTGCATTGTGGTGGCATCTGTGACCTGACACGAGACATTCGCTTGAAGTACCACTCACACCTGTTGCATTGTTTCTCAGCAGGTTGGCAAAATCATCCCTGCGGTGAGAGATGTGATGATGAATCTAACCTTCAAAATCATCAGCATTAAGTTTCCACAGTTTGAGACCTCTGACTGGATCGACTGGTTTGAGGTCAAGCTGACCCCTGTCCTTGCAAGTTTCACTGCAGAGATGCTAGCAACAGCCATCAACAACACCACCTGCACTAACTACCGAGTGATGTGAGTCTCTACTTTCAAAACTGTGATTTGACAATGTCATCCAGTGTTGTACCTATGCAACCTAGAAATGAAAGGAACGCAGCGGTGGGAGGAAGGTTGGCGAACCATGGACAAGTCTCTGTCTCATCAAAGACATTGTTGTTTTCTCGCAGTGTTTCAGGAATAAGCAGTGTGTTCTCTAAGATGACTGCCAGCAGGAGGGAGGAAATAACAAAGGTTTTAGTCAAACACCTGAAGAATCTTGCTGCACAGCTAAACACACCAGGTAGATACCCCTCTGCGCGCTTCTGCTGCCGTGTATGCGTTTCCAGTATGTCTTGCAGTCATTGTTTCTCAGGTGCAGGGGCCTGATAATGTGACCTTGTTTGAACAGTTTGCAGAAAGGATATCCACAGTGACGCTGACTGGCTGAGAATCAACTTGGGTCTGTTCTCGACAACAGCTGACTACTCTGATCTCAAAGACTTGAATATCTCTGGGGTAAAGTGCTCGTTTTGTGTTGTCTTGACCTTTGTCAGCAATACAGCTAGGTGTTTTCTGTCAAACGACGGCACCGCAATTACAGGGTTGGAAAAATACCTTTAACGCAATTTCTTTTCTTTCTTCCCCTAAGGTGGTGGTCCTGGACTCCCTTTCTGCACAACAGAAAGCAGAGCTGATACTAGATCCATCCAGTGGTGCTCTAGAGAATGAGACGCTGGTGAAGGAAGTGCTGACAGGAATACTCTCATCCTCTGGGAAGGAGCAGCTCTATGTGTTCTTTGAGACTTTTGTCAACGTCACCGAAGAGGTAAGCAGTACTTGTCTTTGAAATGTATACATGACATGAGCCAACACGGAAAAAAATGAAGATGGTGGTCATGTGTCAAAGTGCGTAGAGTGGCCTTAAACCAGTGAATTGTTTCCTTTCTAGGAACAAATTTACTTCATTGAAAACGCAGCTGTGAGAGACACAATTCTGAATGTGACATTGACGGCTCTTGCTCCCAAATTTAACGTCTTCCCACCGAGTCAGTTTGAGTTGTGGTTCCAAGAGAATCTTTTCGTTGTACTGGCCAGTTTCCGACCCTCTTGGTTGCTCGTGATCCCTAGAAACCTCAGCTGTGACTCCTACAAGGCAATGTGAGTGATTCCTTTTCTTTTCCTTGGACTATTTTTGGAACACATATTGGCTAAGATGGTTGGTGGCGCGAAACGGAGAAACTGAATGATTTCTGTTTAACACAGTTTGAAAGGCATGGATATGAGTCTGGCAGTCCTTCCACGCGACCTTGATCAGAACCTAAGATCAAGCAGAGAAATGCTGAGCCAGACTTTGCCAAAAGGTACACGATTATCTCAAATTCCAAAAAAAGGTAAGTGTCTCCTTAGCGTTCTCCCTACCATCAGCTAAATGTTGTATTTTCTTTACTCCTCCCTAGATTGCACAGTGCCCGTCCCTGTTGGTGTGGTAAGTAACATTCTGTTATTAACTGCTTTATCTTACGTTTGTAAACGGTGAAATGCACAAAAAACTATTAACACTTGCAAACATATTTTATCGCCCTGTTTTTTTTTTCTTTAGTGCAAGAAGACAGTAGTAGATGGTAAGTGATCAAAACATTTGTTTCTTAAAATTTCTAATCTTTCAGATCCAGTGTCACAAAAAGATTTCTCAGTAGGCTGATGCTGACTTTTTTGATGCATTTTCCTTGTTTTGCAGCATCACGCGTTTGTCAAGGGGTAGGGAGGTGAGTCTTGGTGTTCTAAAAGGGTCAAACAGTGTAAACGTGTGAAAACAATTACAGATGATTTAACAGAATCTTATTCTCTGCAGTCCTCCACTTCAGAGTCAAGTGTCCTTTGGAAACGTCTCTGCACAGCTCTGCAACTTTAGCATCTCTCACTACGCCTGTTCATCAGTAAGGCCTCTGTCTCTGTTATGAATCATGTTGACGGTCATACAACCACAGGAACTTCTTTCCATCTTTGCTTACACCATCTTCTGTTTCAAGGTGGTGGCTCTGTCCTCCAGTGATCTGGTCAAAGTCATGGCATGCAAGCTGACCAGCAGCATGAACTACAGCAGGGAGATTTGGAATCTTTTCTTCCAAAAGTTTGCAGCACCTCTGGATGAAGCCCTGGATGCCTACTCCAACATGGTAGAAAACACTCTTGAGCAGTACTACAATAAAAAGGACGTATTTGCTTGAAATTTTATGCTGATGTATCCCCTTTTTTCTCATTTAGACCCTCAACATCAGTCTGCCTGACCCATACGTTCTTGATGCCATCGGTGAGGTGAAAGTCAACAACTTCAGCAATGCACAGCTTGCGGATTCCGTTTTCATCACCAAGTGGTTCCAGACGAGGCTCAGACCATTTTTGTCATCAGTGTCCGTAGACTTCCTCTCTTGTCTCAGTTCCAAGAACTTCAGCTGTCAAACCTACCAAGTTGTGTAAGTATGGAGTGCGGAATTTCAGGACACCGCAGGTGGAATTTATGGCTTGAGGTTTGTAAAGAACAAGCATACAATCCATCACAAGATCTGATTTCATCCAACTTAGGGTGGAGGCTTTTAGCAGGCAAGATCAACTCATGGAAGAAGAACAGAAATGGTCCATCTTTACTTATTTCATCTATCCTTTCCTCTCAAGAGACGACCTATCAGGTATTTGGAGAAATGTTGCTTGAACACCTGAGCTGCCCTCTCTTCTTTAGCTTCTTTTCTTTTCTTGTATCTTCAAAAGTTAGACTGCTGGTCAACTAAATGCAATGAACCATGTTTTCTTTCTAATGTTCTGACTGTGTTCCCTGCCGCTCTGTTATCATTTTAGATCCCGGTTGTGTTTCCAGCACTTCTGGCAGCGGTGACTGGCTAGCAAAGAACCTTGGCAAGTTCTCCATGTATGCCACCTTGGAAGATCTTGGAATTCTAAATGAAAATTTCTCCAGCGTAAGTAACATCAGGCTTGCATCAATTGTACCTTGGTTGCGAGTTTGACGTCGTCTGTCGGCCCCGGGCGCTAAAGCTGGTCTCTGTGTCCGCTTTGTTGCAGTTTGTCTCTTTGGACCTGCTGACTCCTAGCCAAGCAGCTGAACTCACTCTGTCCTCTGGAGCACTGAACAGTACAAGTCAGATCAACCTAGTCTTCTACCGACTAGAGAAAGGCGATGCTTTCAAGAATGTGGATGAGTTTTTCACAGCCCTTATTGATCAGGAGGTAACTGATATGCTTTCTCTGTCTGAAACCTCTGGCACAACAATCCTTGCATTGTGGTGGCATCTGTGACCTGACACGAGACATTCGCTTGAAGTACCACTCACACCTGTTGCATTGTTTCTCAGCAGGTTGGCAAAATCATCCCTGCGGTGAGAGATGTGATGATGAATCTAACCTTCAAAATCATCAGCATTAAGTTTCCACAGTTTGAGACCTCTGACTGGATCGACTGGTTTGAGGTCAAGCTGACCCCTGTCCTTGCAAGTTTCACTGCAGAGATGCTAGCAACAGCCATCAACAACACCACCTGCACTAACTACCGAGTGATGTGAGTCTCTACTTTCAAAACTGTGATTTGACAATGTCATCCAGTGTTGTACCTATGCAACCTAGAAATGAAAGGAACGCAGCGGTGGGAGGAAGGTTGGCGAACCATGGACAAGTCTCTGTCTCATCAAAGACATTGTTGTTTTCTCGCAGTGTTTCAGGAATAAGCAGTGTGTTCTCTAAGATGACTGCCAGCAGGAGGGAGGAAATAACAAAGGTTTTAGTCAAACACCTGAAGAATCTTGCTGCACAGCTAAACACACCAGGTAGATACCCCTCTGCGCGCTTCTGCTGCCGTGTATGCGTTTCCAGTATGTCTTGCAGTCATTGTTTCTCAGGTGCAGGGGCCTGATAATGTGACCTTGTTTGAACAGTTTGCAGAAAGGATATCCACAGTGACGCTGACTGGCTGAGAATCAACTTGGGTCTGTTCTCGACAACAGCTGACTACTCTGATCTCAAAGACTTGAATATCTCTGGGGTAAAGTGCTCGTTTTGTGTTGTCTTGACCTTTGTCAGCAATACAGCTAGGTGTTTTCTGTCAAACGACGGCACCGCAATTACAGGGTTGGAAAAATACCTTTAACGCAATTTCTTTTCTTTCTTCCCCTAAGGTGGTGGTCCTGGACTCCCTTTCTGCACAACAGAAAGCAGAGCTGATACTAGATCCATCCAGTGGTGCTCTAGAGAATGAGACGCTGGTGAAGGAAGTGCTGACAGGAATACTCTCATCCTCTGGGAAGGAGCAGCTCTATGTGTTCTTTGAGACTTTTGTCAACGTCACCGAAGAGGTAAGCAGTACTTTGTCTTTGAAATGTATACATGACATGAGCCAACACGGAAAAAAATGAAGATGGTGGTCATGTGTCAAAGTGCGTAGAGTGGCCTTAAACCAGTGAATTGTTTCCTTTCTAGGAACAAATTTACTTCATTGAAAACGCAGCTGTGAGAGACACAATTCTGAATGTGACATTGACGGCTCTTGCTCCCAAATTTAACGTCTTCCCACCGAGTCAGTTTGAGTTGTGGTTCCAAGAGAATCTTTTCGTTGTACTGGCCAGTTTCCGACCCTCTTGGTTGCTCGTGATCCCTAGAAACCTCAGCTGTGACTCCTACAAGGCAATGTGAGTGATTCCTTTTCTTTTCCTTGGACTATTTTTGGAACACATATTGGCTAAGATGGTTGGTGGCGCGAAACGGAGAAACTGAATGATTTCTGTTTAACACAGTTTGAAAGGCATGGATATGAGTCTGGCAGTCCTTCCACGCGACCTTGATCAGAACCTAAGATCAAGCAGAGAAATGCTGAGCCAGACTTTGCCAAAAGGTACACGATTATCTCAAATTCCAAAAAAAGGTAAGTGTCTCCTTAGCGTTCTCCCTACCATCAGCTAAATGTTGTATTTTCTTTACTCCTCCCTAGATTGCACAGTGCCCGTCCCTGTTGGTGTGGTAAGTAACATTCTGTTATTAACTGCTTTATCTTACGTTTGTAAACGGTGAAATGCACAAAAAACTATTAACACTTGCAAACATATTTTATCGCCCTGTTTTTTTTTTCTTTAGTGCAAGAAGACAGTAGTAGATGGTAAGTGATCAAAACATTTGTTTCTTAAAATTTCTAATCTTTCAGATCCAGTGTCACAAAAAGATTTCTCAGTAGGCTGATGCTGACTTTTTTGATGCATTTTCCTTGTTTTGCAGCATCACGCGTTTGTCAAGGGGTAGGGAGGTGAGTCTTGGTGTTCTAAAAGGGTCAAACAGTGTAAACGTGTGAAAACAATTACAGATGATTTAACAGAATCTTATTCTCTGCAGTCCTCCACTTCAGAGTCAAGTGTCCTTTGGAAACGTCTCTGCACAGCTCTGCAACTTTAGCATCTCTCACTACGCCTGTTCATCAGTAAGGCCTCTGTCTCTGTTATGAATCATGTTGACGGTCATACAACCACAGGAACTTCTTTCCATCTTTGCTTACACCATCTTCTGTTTCAAGGTGGTGGCTCTGTCCTCCAGTGATCTGGTCAAAGTCATGGCATGCAAGCTGACCAGCAGCATGAACTACAGCAGGGAGATTTGGAATCTTTTCTTCCAAAAGTTTGCAGCACCTCTGGATGAAGCCCTGGATGCCTACTCCAACATGGTAGAAAACACTCTTGAGCAGTACTACAATAAAAAGGACGTATTTGCTTGAAATTTTATGCTGATGTATCCCCTTTTTTCTCATTTAGACCCTCAACATCAGTCTGCCTGACCCATACGTTCTTGATGCCATCGGTGAGGTGAAAGTCAACAACTTCAGCAATGCACAGCTTGCGGATTCCGTTTTCATCACCAAGTGGTTCCAGACGAGGCTCAGACCATTTTTGTCATCAGTGTCCGTAGACTTCCTCTCTTGTCTCAGTTCCAAGAACTTCAGCTGTCAAACCTACCAAGTTGTGTAAGTATGGAGTGCGGAATTTCAGGACACCGCAGGTGGAATTTATGGCTTGAGGTTTGTAAAGAACAAGCATACAATCCATCACAAGATCTGATTTCATCCAACTTAGGGTGGAGGCTTTTAGCAGGCAAGATCAACTCATGGAAGAAGAACAGAAATGGTCCATCTTTACTTATTTCATCTATCCTTTCCTCTCAAGAGACGACCTATCAGGTATTTGGAGAAATGTTGCTTGAACACCTGAGCTGCCCTCTCTTCTTTAGCTTCTTTTCTTTTCTTGTATCTTCAAAAGTTAGACTGCTGGTCAACTAAATGCAATGAACCATGTTTTCTTTCTAATGTTCTGACTGTGTTCCCTGCCGCTCTGTTATCATTTTAGATCCCGGTTGTGTTTCCAGCACTTCTGGCAGCGGTGACTGGCTAGCAAAGAACCTTGGCAAGTTCTCCATGTATGCCACCTTGGAAGATCTTGGAATTCTAAATGAAAATTTCTCCAGCGTAAGTAACATCAGGCTTGCATCAATTGTACCTTGGTTGCGAGTTTGACGTCGTCTGTCGGCCCCGGGCGCTAAAGCTGGTCTCTGTGTCCGCTTTGTTGCAGTTTGTCTCTTTGGACCTGCTGACTCCTAGCCAAGCAGCTGAACTCACTCTGTCCTCTGGAGCACTGAACAGTACAAGTCAGATCAACCTAGTCTTCTACCGACTAGAGAAAGGCGATGCTTTCAAGAATGTGGATGAGTTTTTCACAGCCCTTATTGATCAGGAGGTAACTGATATGCTTTCTCTGTCTGAAACCTCTGGCACAACAATCCTTGCATTGTGGTGGCATCTGTGACCTGACACGAGACATTCGCTTGAAGTACCACTCACACCTGTTGCATTGTTTCTCAGCAGGTTGGCAAAATCATCCCTGCGGTGAGAGATGTGATGATGAATCTAACCTTCAAAATCATCAGCATTAAGTTTCCACAGTTTGAGACCTCTGACTGGATCGACTGGTTTGAGGTCAAGCTGACCCCTGTCCTTGCAAGTTTCACTGCAGAGATGCTAGCAACAGCCATCAACAACACCACCTGCACTAACTACCGAGTGATGTGAGTCTCTACTTTCAAAACTGTGATTTGACAATGTCATCCAGTGTTGTACCTATGCAACCTAGAAATGAAAGGAACGCAGCGGTGGGAGGAAGGTTGGCGAACCATGGACAAGTCTCTGTCTCATCAAAGACATTGTTGTTTTCTCGCAGTGTTTCAGGAATAAGCAGTGTGTTCTCTAAGATGACTGCCAGCAGGAGGGAGGAAATAACAAAGGTTTTAGTCAAACACCTGAAGAATCTTGCTGCACAGCTAAACACACCAGGTAGATACCCCTCTGCGCGCTTCTGCTGCCGTGTATGCGTTTCCAGTATGTCTTGCAGTCATTGTTTCTCAGGTGCAGGGGCCTGATAATGTGACCTTGTTTGAACAGTTTGCAGAAAGGATATCCACAGTGACGCTGACTGGCTGAGAATCAACTTGGGTCTGTTCTCGACAACAGCTGACTACTCTGATCTCAAAGACTTGAATATCTCTGGGGTAAAGTGCTCGTTTTGTGTTGTCTTGACCTTTGTCAGCAATACAGCTAGGTGTTTTCTGTCAAACGACGGCACCGCAATTACAGGGTTGGAAAAATACCTTTAACGCAATTTCTTTTCTTTCTTCCCCTAAGGTGGTGGTCCTGGACTCCCTTTCTGCACAACAGAAAGCAGAGCTGATACTAGATCCATCCAGTGGTGCTCTAGAGAATGAGACGCTGGTGAAGGAAGTGCTGACAGGAATACTCTCATCCTCTGGGAAGGAGCAGCTCTATGTGTTCTTTGAGACTTTTGTCAACGTCACCGAAGAGGTAAGCAGTACTTGTCTTTGAAATGTATACATGACATGAGCCAACACGGAAAAAAATGAAGATGGTGGTCATGTGTCAAAGTGCGTAGAGTGGCCTTAAACCAGTGAATTGTTTCCTTTCTAGGAACAAATTTACTTCATTGAAAACGCAGCTGTGAGAGACACAATTCTGAATGTGACATTGACGGCTCTTGCTCCCAAATTTAACGTCTTCCCACCGAGTCAGTTTGAGTTGTGGTTCCAAGAGAATCTTTTCGTTGTACTGGCCAGTTTCCGACCCTCTTGGTTGCTCGTGATCCCTAGAAACCTCAGCTGTGACTCCTACAAGGCAATGTGAGTGATTCCTTTTCTTTTCCTTGGACTATTTTTGGAACACATATTGGCTAAGATGGTTGGTGGCGCGAAACGGAGAAACTGAATGATTTCTGTTTAACACAGTTTGAAAGGCATGGATATGAGTCTGGCAGTCCTTCCACGCGACCTTGATCAGAACCTAAGATCAAGCAGAGAAATGCTGAGCCAGACTTTGCCAAAAGGTACACGATTATCTCAAATTCCAAAAAAAGGTAAGTGTCTCCTTAGCGTTCTCCCTACCATCAGCTAAATGTTGTATTTTCTTTACTCCTCCCTAGATTGCACAGTGCCCGTCCCTGTTGGTGTGGTAAGTAACATTCTGTTATTAACTGCTTTATCTTACGTTTGTAAACGGTGAAATGCACAAAAAACTATTAACACTTGCAAACATATTTTATCGCCCTGTTTTTTTTTTCTTTAGTGCAAGAAGACAGTAGTAGATGGTAAGTGATCAAAACATTTGTTTCTTAAAATTTCTAATCTTTCAGATCCAGTGTCACAAAAAGATTTCTCAGTAGGCTGATGCTGACTTTTTTGATGCATTTTCCTTGTTTTGCAGCATCACGCGTTTGTCAAGGGGTAGGGAGGTGAGTCTTGGTGTTCTAAAAGGGTCAAACAGTGTAAACGTGTGAAAACAATTACAGATGATTTAACAGAATCTTATTCTCTGCAGTCCTCCACTTCAGAGTCAAGTGTCCTTTGGAAACGTCTCTGCACAGCTCTGCAACTTTAGCATCTCTCACTACGCCTGTTCATCAGTAAGGCCTCTGTCTCTGTTATGAATCATGTTGACGGTCATACAACCACAGGAACTTCTTTCCATCTTTGCTTACACCATCTTCTGTTTCAAGGTGGTGGCTCTGTCCTCCAGTGATCTGGTCAAAGTCATGGCATGCAAGCTGACCAGCAGCATGAACTACAGCAGGGAGATTTGGAATCTTTTCTTCCAAAAGTTTGCAGCACCTCTGGATGAAGCCCTGGATGCCTACTCCAACATGGTAGAAAACACTCTTGAGCAGTACTACAATAAAAAGGACGTATTTGCTTGAAATTTTATGCTGATGTATCCCCTTTTTTCTCATTTAGACCCTCAACATCAGTCTGCCTGACCCATACGTTCTTGATGCCATCGGTGAGGTGAAAGTCAACAACTTCAGCAATGCACAGCTTGCGGATTCCGTTTTCATCACCAAGTGGTTCCAGACGAGGCTCAGACCATTTTTGTCATCAGTGTCCGTAGACTTCCTCTCTTGTCTCAGTTCCAAGAACTTCAGCTGTCAAACCTACCAAGTTGTGTAAGTATGGAGTGCGGAATTTCAGGACACCGCAGGTGGAATTTATGGCTTGAGGTTTGTAAAGAACAAGCATACAATCCATCACAAGATCTGATTTCATCCAACTTAGGGTGGAGGCTTTTAGCAGGCAAGATCAACTCATGGAAGAAGAACAGAAATGGTCCATCTTTACTTATTTCATCTATCCTTTCCTCTCAAGAGACGACCTATCAGGTATTTGGAGAAATGTTGCTTGAACACCTGAGCTGCCCTCTCTTCTTTAGCTTCTTTTCTTTTCTTGTATCTTCAAAAGTTAGACTGCTGGTCAACTAAATGCAATGAACCATGTTTTCTTTCTAATGTTCTGACTGTGTTCCCTGCCGCTCTGTTATCATTTTAGATCCCGGTTGTGTTTCCAGCACTTCTGGCAGCGGTGACTGGCTAGCAAAGAACCTTGGCAAGTTCTCCATGTATGCCACCTTGGAAGATCTTGGAATTCTAAATGAAAATTTCTCCAGCGTAAGTAACATCAGGCTTGCATCAATTGTACCTTGGTTGCGAGTTTGACGTCGTCTGTCGGCCCCGGGCGCTAAAGCTGGTCTCTGTGTCCGCTTTGTTGCAGTTTGTCTCTTTGGACCTGCTGACTCCTAGCCAAGCAGCTGAACTCACTCTGTCCTCTGGAGCACTGAACAGTACAAGTCAGATCAACCTAGTCTTCTACCGACTAGAGAAAGGCGATGCTTTCAAGAATGTGGATGAGTTTTTCACAGCCCTTATTGATCAGGAGGTAACTGATATGCTTTCTCTGTCTGAAACCTCTGGCACAACAATCCTTGCATTGTGGTGGCATCTGTGACCTGACACGAGACATTCGCTTGAAGTACCACTCACACCTGTTGCATTGTTTCTCAGCAGGTTGGCAAAATCATCCCTGCGGTGAGAGATGTGATGATGAATCTAACCTTCAAAATCATCAGCATTAAGTTTCCACAGTTTGAGACCTCTGACTGGATCGACTGGTTTGAGGTCAAGCTGACCCCTGTCCTTGCAAGTTTCACTGCAGAGATGCTAGCAACAGCCATCAACAACACCACCTGCACTAACTACCGAGTGATGTGAGTCTCTACTTTCAAAACTGTGATTTGACAATGTCATCCAGTGTTGTACCTATGCAACCTAGAAATGAAAGGAACGCAGCGGTGGGAGGAAGGTTGGCGAACCATGGACAAGTCTCTGTCTCATCAAAGACATTGTTGTTTTCTCGCAGTGTTTCAGGAATAAGCAGTGTGTTCTCTAAGATGACTGCCAGCAGGAGGGAGGAAATAACAAAGGTTTTAGTCAAACACCTGAAGAATCTTGCTGCACAGCTAAACACACCAGGTAGATACCCCTCTGCGCGCTTCTGCTGCCGTGTATGCGTTTCCAGTATGTCTTGCAGTCATTGTTTCTCAGGTGCAGGGGCCTGATAATGTGACCTTGTTTGAACAGTTTGCAGAAAGGATATCCACAGTGACGCTGACTGGCTGAGAATCAACTTGGGTCTGTTCTCGACAACAGCTGACTACTCTGATCTCAAAGACTTGAATATCTCTGGGGTAAAGTGCTCGTTTTGTGTTGTCTTGACCTTTGTCAGCAATACAGCTAGGTGTTTTCTGTCAAACGACGGCACCGCAATTACAGGGTTGGAAAAATACCTTTAACGCAATTTCTTTTCTTTCTTCCCCTAAGGTGGTGGTCCTGGACTCCCTTTCTGCACAACAGAAAGCAGAGCTGATACTAGATCCATCCAGTGGTGCTCTAGAGAATGAGACGCTGGTGAAGGAAGTGCTGACAGGAATACTCTCATCCTCTGGGAAGGAGCAGCTCTATGTGTTCTTTGAGACTTTTGTCAACGTCACCGAAGAGGTAAGCAGTACTTGTCTTTGAAATGTATACATGACATGAGCCAACACGGAAAAAAATGAAGATGGTGGTCATGTGTCAAAGTGCGTAGAGTGGCCTTAAACCAGTGAATTGTTTCCTTTCTAGGAACAAATTTACTTCATTGAAAACGCAGCTGTGAGAGACACAATTCTGAATGTGACATTGACGGCTCTTGCTCCCAAATTTAACGTCTTCCCACCGAGTCAGTTTGAGTTGTGGTTCCAAGAGAATCTTTTCGTTGTACTGGCCAGTTTCCGACCCTCTTGGTTGCTCGTGATCCCTAGAAACCTCAGCTGTGACTCCTACAAGGCAATGTGAGTGATTCCTTTTCTTTTCCTTGGACTATTTTTGGAACACATATTGGCTAAGATGGTTGGTGGCGCGAAACGGAGAAACTGAATGATTTCTGTTTAACACAGTTTGAAAGGCATGGATATGAGTCTGGCAGTCCTTCCACGCGACCTTGATCAGAACCTAAGATCAAGCAGAGAAATGCTGAGCCAGACTTTGCCAAAAGGTACACGATTATCTCAAATTCCAAAAAAAGGTAAGTGTCTCCTTAGCGTTCTCCCTACCATCAGCTAAATGTTGTATTTTCTTTACTCCTCCCTAGATTGCACAGTGCCCGTCCCTGTTGGTGTGGTAAGTAACATTCTGTTATTAACTGCTTTATCTTACGTTTGTAAACGGTGAAATGCACAAAAAACTATTAACACTTGCAAACATATTTTATCGCCCTGTTTTTTTTTTCTTTAGTGCAAGAAGACAGTAGTAGATGGTAAGTGATCAAAACATTTGTTTCTTAAAATTTCTAATCTTTCAGATCCAGTGTCACAAAAAGATTTCTCAGTAGGCTGATGCTGACTTTTTTGATGCATTTTCCTTGTTTTGCAGCATCACGCGTTTGTCAAGGGGTAGGGAGGTGAGTCTTGGTGTTCTAAAAGGGTCAAACAGTGTAAACGTGTGAAAACAATTACAGATGATTTAACAGAATCTTATTCTCTGCAGTCCTCCACTTCAGAGTCAAGTGTCCTTTGGAAACGTCTCTGCACAGCTCTGCAACTTTAGCATCTCTCACTACGCCTGTTCATCAGTAAGGCCTCTGTCTCTGTTATGAATCATGTTGACGGTCATACAACCACAGGAACTTCTTTCCATCTTTGCTTACACCATCTTCTGTTTCAAGGTGGTGGCTCTGTCCTCCAGTGATCTGGTCAAAGTCATGGCATGCAAGCTGACCAGCAGCATGAACTACAGCAGGGAGATTTGGAATCTTTTCTTCCAAAAGTTTGCAGCACCTCTGGATGAAGCCCTGGATGCCTACTCCAACATGGTAGAAAACACTCTTGAGCAGTACTACAATAAAAAGGACGTATTTGCTTGAAATTTTATGCTGATGTATCCCCTTTTTTCTCATTTAGACCCTCAACATCAGTCTGCCTGACCCATACGTTCTTGATGCCATCGGTGAGGTGAAAGTCAACAACTTCAGCAATGCACAGCTTGCGGATTCCGTTTTCATCACCAAGTGGTTCCAGACGAGGCTCAGACCATTTTTGTCATCAGTGTCCGTAGACTTCCTCTCTTGTCTCAGTTCCAAGAACTTCAGCTGTCAAACCTACCAAGTTGTGTAAGTATGGAGTGCGGAATTTCAGGACACCGCAGGTGGAATTTATGGCTTGAGGTTTGTAAAGAACAAGCATACAATCCATCACAAGATCTGATTTCATCCAACTTAGGGTGGAGGCTTTTAGCAGGCAAGATCAACTCATGGAAGAAGAACAGAAATGGTCCATCTTTACTTATTTCATCTATCCTTTCCTCTCAAGAGACGACCTATCAGGTATTTGGAGAAATGTTGCTTGAACACCTGAGCTGCCCTCTCTTCTTTAGCTTCTTTTCTTTTCTTGTATCTTCAAAAGTTAGATTGCTGGTCAACTAAATGCAATGAACCATGTTTTCTTTCTAATGTTCTGACTGTGTTCCCTGCCGCTCTGTTATCATTTTAGATCCCGGTTGTGTTTCCAGCACTTCTGGCAGCGGTGACTGGCTAGCAAAGAACCTTGGCAAGTTCTCCATCTATGCCACCTTGGAAGATCTTGGAATTCTAAATGAAAATTTCTCCAGCGTAAGTAACATCAGGCTTGCATCAATTGTACCTTGGTTGCGAGTTTGACGTCGTCTGTCGGCCCCGGGCGCTAAAGCTGGTCTCTGTGTCCGCTTTGTTGCAGTTTGTCTCTTTGGACCTGCTGACTCCTAGCCAAGCAGCTGAACTCACTCTGTCCTCTGGAGCACTGAACAGTACAAGTCAGATCAACCTAGTCTTCTACCGACTAGAGAAAGGCGATGCTTTCAAGAATGTGGATGAGTTTTTCACAGCCCTTATTGATCAGGAGGTAACTGATATGCTTTCTCTGTCTGAAACCTCTGGCACAACAATCCTTGCATTGTGGTGGCATCTGTGACCTGACACGAGACATTCGCTTGAAGTACCACTCACACCTGTTGCATTGTTTCTCAGCAGGTTGGCAAAATCATCCCTGCGGTGAGAGATGTGATGATGAATCTAACCTTCAAAATCATCAGCATTAAGTTTCCACAGTTTGAGACCTCTGACTGGATCGACTGGTTTGAGGTCAAGCTGACCCCTGTCCTTGCAAGTTTCACTGCAGAGATGCTAGCAACAGCCATCAACAACACCACCTGCACTAACTACCGAGTGATGTGAGTCTCTACTTTCAAAACTGTGATTTGACAATGTCATCCAGTGTTGTACCTATGCAACCTAGAAATGAAAGGAACGCAGCGGTGGGAGGAAGGTTGGCGAACCATGGACAAGTCTCTGTCTCATCAAAGACATTGTTGTTTTCTCGCAGTGTTTCAGGAATAAGCAGTGTGTTCTCTAAGATGACTGCCAGCAGGAGGGAGGAAATAACAAAGGTTTTAGTCAAACACCTGAAGAATCTTGCTGCACAGCTAAACACACCAGGTAGATACCCCTCTGTGCGCTTCTGCTGCCGTGTATGCGTTTCCAGTATGTCTTGCAGTCATTGTTTCTCAGGTGCAGGGGCCTGATAATGTGACCTTGTTTGAACAGTTTGCAGAAAGGATATCCACAGTGACGCTGACTGGCTGAGAATCAACTTGGGTCTGTTCTCGACAACAGCTGACTACTCTGATCTCAAAGACTTGAATATCTCTGGGGTAAAGTGCTCGTTTTGTGTTGTCTTGACCTTTGTCAGCAATACAGCTAGGTGTTTTCTGTCAAACGACGGCACCGCAATTACAGGGTTGGAAAAATACCTTTAACGCAATTTCTTTTCTTTCTTCCCCTAAGGTGGTGGTCCTGGACTCCCTTTCTGCACAACAGAAAGCAGAGCTGATACTAGATCCATCCAGTGGTGCTCTAGAGAATGAGACGCTGGTGAAGGAAGTGCTGACAGGAATACTCTCATCCTCTGGGAAGGAGCAGCTCTATGTGTTCTTTGAGACTTTTGTCAACGTCACCGAAGAGGTAAGCAGTACTTGTCTTTGAAATGTATACATGACATGAGCCAACACGGAAAAAAATGAAGATGGTGGTCATGTGTCAAAGTGCGTAGAGTGGCCTTAAACCAGTGAATTGTTTCCTTTCTAGGAACAAATTTACTTCATTGAAAACGCAGCTGTGAGAGACACAATTCTGAATGTGACATTGACGGCTCTTGCTCCCAAATTTAACGTCTTCCCACCGAGTCAGTTTGAGTTGTGGTTCCAAGAGAATCTTTTCGTTGTACTGGCCAGTTTCCGACCCTCTTGGTTGCTCGTGATCCCTAGAAACCTCAGCTGTGACTCCTACAAGGCAATGTGAGTGATTCCTTTTCTTTTCCTTGGACTATTTTTGGAACACATATTGGCTAAGATGGTTGGTGGCGCGAAACGGAGAAACTGAATGATTTCTGTTTAACACAGTTTGAAAGGCATGGATATGAGTCTGGCAGTCCTTCCACGCGACCTTGATCAGAACCTAAGATCAAGCAGAGAAATGCTGAGCCAGACTTTGCCAAAAGGTACACGATTATCTCAAATTCCAAAAAAAGGTAAGTGTCTCCTTAGCGTTCTCCCTACCATCAGCTAAATGTTGTATTTTCTTTACTCCTCCCTAGATTGCACAGTGCCCGTCCCTGTTGGTGTGGTAAGTAACATTCTGTTATTAACTGCTTTATCTTACGTTTGTAAACGGTGAAATGCACAAAAAACTATTAACACTTGCAAACATATTTTATCGCCCTGTTTTTTTTTTCTTTAGTGCAAGAAGACAGTAGTAGATGGTAAGTGATCAAAACATTTGTTTCTTAAAATTTCTAATCTTTCAGATCCAGTGTCACAAAAAGATTTCTCAGTAGGCTGATGCTGACTTTTTTGATGCATTTTCCTTGTTTTGCAGCATCACGCGTTTGTCAAGGGGTAGGGAGGTGAGTCTTGGTGTTCTAAAAGGGTCAAACAGTGTAAACGTGTGAAAACAATTACAGATGATTTAACAGAATCTTATTCTCTGCAGTCCTCCACTTCAGAGTCAAGTGTCCTTTGGAAACGTCTCTGCACAGCTCTGCAACTTTAGCATCTCTCACTACGCCTGTTCATCAGTAAGGCCTCTGTCTCTGTTATGAATCATGTTGACGGTCATACAACCACAGGAACTTCTTTCCATCTTTGCTTACACCATCTTCTGTTTCAAGGTGGTGGCTCTGTCCTCCAGTGATCTGGTCAAAGTCATGGCATGCAAGCTGACCAGCAGCATGAACTACAGCAGGGAGATTTGGAATCTTTTCTTCCAAAAGTTTGCAGCACCTCTGGATGAAGCCCTGGATGCCTACTCCAACATGGTAGAAAACACTGTTGAGCAGTACTACAATAAAAAGGACGTATTTGCTTGAAATTTTATGCTGATGTATCCCCTTTTTTCTCATTTAGACCCTCAACATCAGTCTGCCTGACCCATACGTTCTTGATGCCATCGGTGAGGTGAAAGTCAACAACTTCAGCAATGCACAGCTTGCGGATTCCGTTTTCATCACCAAGTGGTTCCAGACGAGGCTCAGGCCATTTTTGTCATCAGTGTCCGTAGACTTCCTCTCTTGTCTCAGTTCCAAGAACTTCAGCTGTCAAACCTACCAAGTTGTGTAAGTATGGAGTGCGGAATTTCAGGACACCGCAGGTGGAATTTATGGCTTGAGGTTTGTAAAGAACAAGCATACAATCCATCACAAGATCTGATTTCATCCAACTTAGGGTGGAGGCTTTTAGCAGGCAAGATCAACTCATGGAAGAAGAACAGAAATGGTCCATCTTTACTTATTTCATCTATCCTTTCCTCTCAAGAGACGACCTATCAGGTATTTGGAGAAATGTTGCTTGAACACCTGAGCTGCCCTCTCTTCTTTAGCTTCTTTTCTTTTCTTGTATCTTCAAAAGTTAGACTGCTGGTCAACTAAATGCAATGAACCATGTTTTCTTTCTAATGTTCTGACTGTGTTCCCTGCCGCTCTGTTATCATTTTAGATCCCGGTTGTGTTTCCAGCACTTCTGGCAGCGGTGACTGGCTAGCAAAGAACCTTGGCAAGTTCTCCATGTATGCCACCTTGGAAGATCTTGGAATTCTAAATGAAAATTTCTCCAGCGTAAGTAACATCAGGCTTGCATCAATTGTACCTTGGTTGCGAGTTTGACGTCGTCTGTCGGCCCCGGGCGCTAAAGCTGGTCTCTGTGTCCGCTTTGTTGCAGTTTGTCTCTTTGGACCTGCTGACTCCTAGCCAAGCAGCTGAACTCACTCTGTCCTCTGGAGCACTGAACAGTACAAGTCAGATCAACCTAGTCTTCTACCGACTAGAGAAAGGCGATGCTTTCAAGAATGTGGATGAGTTTTTCACAGCCCTTATTGATCAGGAGGTAACTGATATGCTTTCTCTGTCTGAAACCTCTGGCACAACAATCCTTGCATTGTGGTGGCATCTGTGACCTGACACGAGACATTCGCTTGAAGTACCACTCACACCTGTTGCATTGTTTCTCAGCAGGTTGGCAAAATCATCCCTGCGGTGAGAGATGTGATGATGAATCTAACCTTCAAAATCATCAGCATTAAGTTTCCACAGTTTGAGACCTCTGACTGGATCGACTGGTTTGAGGTCAAGCTGACCCCTGTCCTTGCAAGTTTCACTGCAGAGATGCTAGCAACAGCCATCAACAACACCACCTGCACTAACTACCGAGTGATGTGAGTCTCTACTTTCAAAACTGTGATTTGACAATGTCATCCAGTGTTGTACCTATGCAACCTAGAAATGAAAGGAACGCAGCGGTGGGAGGAAGGTTGGCGAACCATGGACAAGTCTCTGTCTCATCAAAGACATTGTTGTTTTCTCGCAGTGTTTCAGGAATAAGCAGTGTGTTCTCTAAGATGACTGCCAGCAGGAGGGAGGAAATAACAAAGGTTTTAGTCAAACACCTGAAGAATCTTGCTGCACAGCTAAACACACCAGGTAGATACCCCTCTGCGCGCTTCTGCTGCCGTGTATGCGTTTCCAGTATGTCTTGCAGTCATTGTTTCTCAGGTGCAGGGGCCTGATAATGTGACCTTGTTTGAACAGTTTGCAGAAAGGATATCCACAGTGACGCTGACTGGCTGAGAATCAACTTGGGTCTGTTCTCGACAACAGCTGACTACTCTGATCTCAAAGACTTGAATATCTCTGGGGTAAAGTGCTCGTTTTGTGTTGTCTTGACCTTTGTCAGCAATACAGCTAGGTGTTTTCTGTCAAACGACGGCACCGCAATTACAGGGTTGGAAAAATACCTTTAACGCAATTTCTTTTCTTTCTTCCCCTAAGGTGGTGGTCCTGGACTCCCTTTCTGCACAACAGAAAGCAGAGCTGATACTAGATCCATCCAGTGGTGCTCTAGAGAATGAGACGCTGGTGAAGGAAGTGCTGACAGGAATACTCTCATCCTCTGGGAAGGAGCAGCTCTATGTGTTCTTTGAGACTTTTGTCAACGTCACCGAAGAGGTAAGCAGTACTTGTCTTTGAAATGTATACATGACATGAGCCAACACGGAAAAAAATGAAGATGGTGGTCATGTGTCAAAGTGCGTAGAGTGGCCTTAAACCAGTGAATTGTTTCCTTTCTAGGAACAAATTTACTTCATTGAAAACGCAGCTGTGAGAGACACAATTCTGAATGTGACATTGACGGCTCTTGCTCCCAAATTTAACGTCTTCCCACCGAGTCAGTTTGAGTTGTGGTTCCAAGAGAATCTTTTCGTTGTACTGGCCAGTTTCCGACCCTCTTGGTTGCTCGTGATCCCTAGAAACCTCAGCTGTGACTCCTACAAGGCAATGTGAGTGATTCCTTTTCTTTTCCTTGGACTATTTTTGGAACACATATTGGCTAAGATGGTTGGTGGCGCGAAACGGAGAAACTGAATGATTTCTGTTTAACACAGTTTGAAAGGCATGGATATGAGTCTGGCAGTCCTTCCACGCGACCTTGATCAGAACCTAAGATCAAGCAGAGAAATGCTGAGCCAGACTTTGCCAAAAGGTACACGATTATCTCAAATTCCAAAAAAAGGTAAGTGTCTCCTTAGCGTTCTCCCTACCATCAGCTAAATGTTGTATTTTCTTTACTCCTCCCTAGATTGCACAGTGCCCGTCCCTGTTGGTGTGGTAAGTAACATTCTGTTATTAACTGCTTTATCTTACGTTTGTAAACGGTGAAATGCACAAAAAACTATTAACACTTGCAAACATATTTTATCGCCCTGTTTTTTTTTTCTTTAGTGCAAGAAGACAGTAGTAGATGGTAAGTGATCAAAACATTTGTTTCTTAAAATTTCTAATCTTTCAGATCCAGTGTCACAAAAAGATTTCTCAGTAGGCTGATGCTGACTTTTTTGATGCATTTTCCTTGTTTTGCAGCATCACGCGTTTGTCAAGGGGTAGGGAGGTGAGTCTTGGTGTTCTAAAAGGGTCAAACAGTGTAAACGTGTGAAAACAATTACAGATGATTTAACAGAATCTTATTCTCTGCAGTCCTCCACTTCAGAGTCAAGTGTCCTTTGGAAACGTCTCTGCACAGCTCTGCAACTTTAGCATCTCTCACTACGCCTGTTCATCAGTAAGGCCTCTGTCTCTGTTATGAATCATGTTGACGGTCATACAACCACAGGAACTTCTTTCCATCTTTGCTTACACCATCTTCTGTTTCAAGGTGGTGGCTCTGTCCTCCAGTGATCTGGTCAAAGTCATGGCATGCAAGCTGACCAGCAGCATGAACTACAGCAGGGAGATTTGGAATCTTTTCTTCCAAAAGTTTGCAGCACCTCTGGATGAAGCCCTGGATGCCTACTCCAACATGGTAGAAAACACTGTTGAGCAGTACTACAATAAAAAGGACGTATTTGCTTGAAATTTTATGCTGATGTATCCCCTTTTTTCTCATTTAGACCCTCAACATCAGTCTGCCTGACCCATACGTTCTTGATGCCATCGGTGAGGTGAAAGTCAACAACTTCAGCAATGCACAGCTTGCGGATTCCGTTTTCATCACCAAGTGGTTCCAGACGAGGCTCAGGCCATTTTTGTCATCAGTGTCCGTAGACTTCCTCTCTTGTCTCAGTTCCAAGAACTTCAGCTGTCAAACCTACCAAGTTGTGTAAGTATGGAGTGCGGAATTTCAGGACACCGCAGGTGGAATTTATGGCTTGAGGTTTGTAAAGAACAAGCATACAATCCATCACAAGATCTGATTTCATCCAACTTAGGGTGGAGGCTTTTAGCAGGCAAGATCAACTCATGCAAGAAGAACAGAAATGGTCCATCTTTACTTATTTCATCTATCCTTTCCTCTCAAGAGACGACCTATCAGGTATTTGGAGAAATGTTGCTTGAACACCTGAGCTGCCCTCTTTTCTTTAGCTTCTTTTATTTTCTTGTATCTTCAAAAGTTAGATTGCTGGTCAACTAAATGCAATGAACCATGTTTTCTTTCTAATGTTCTGCCTGTGTTCCCTGCCGCTCTGTTATCATTTTAGATCCCGGTTGTGTTTCCAGCACTTCTGGCAGCGGTGACTGGCTAGCAAAGAACCTTGGCAAGTTCTCCATCTATGCCACCTTGAAAGATCTTGGAATTCTAAATGAAAATTTCTCCAGCGTAAGTAACATCAGGCTTGCACCAATTGTACCTTGGTTGCGAGTTTGACGTCGTCTGTCGGCCCCGGGCGCTAAAGCTGGTCTCTGTGTCTGCTTTGTTGCAGTTTGTCTCTTTGGACCTGCTGACTCCTAGCCAAGCAGCTGAACTCACTCTGTCCTCTGGAGCACTAAACAGCACAAGCCAGATCAACCTAGTCTTCTACCGACTAGAGAAAGGCGATGCTTTCAAGAATGTGGATGAGTTTTTCACAGCCCTTATTGATCAGGAGGTAACTGATATGCTTTCTCTGTCTGAAACCTCTGACACAACAATCTATGCATTATGGTGGCATCTGTGACCTGACACGAGACATTCGCTTGAAGTACCACTCACACCTGTTGCATTGTTTCTCAGCAGGTTGGCAAAATCATCCCTGCGGTGAGAGATGTGATGATGAATCTAACCTTCAAAATCATCAGCATTAAGTTTCCACAGTTTGAGACCTCTGACTGGATCGACTGGTTTGAGGTCAAGCTGACCCCTGTCCTTGCAAGTCTCACTACAGAGATGCTAGCAACAGCCATCAACAACACAAACTGCACTAACTACCGAGTGATGTGAGTCTCTACTTTCAAAACTGTGATTTGACAATGTCCTCCGGTGTTGTACCTATGCAACCTAGAAATGAATGAAATGCAGCGGTGAGAAGAATGCTGATAAATAGATAGATACTTTATTGATCCCAAAGGACATTTAGCAGCCAGTAGCAGTCACACAACACAGGACAGTAATAATAATAAGGGTGAAACAATAACAAAAGAAGAATAAAAAAAAAAAACTACAGGCATATATACAAATAGAAATATACAAAAATCTGCACTAAGTTCTATATCCTGACATGAAAAAGGTAGTGCAATAACATCACATAATGACAATACTGAATAAATATGTGCAGATCTTGGTACTGAAATAAAGTGTCTAGGTGTGGAGTGTCCAGATGTGCAAGATTCGCAGTAGGAGTTACAGAAATTGCAAGGTTGGCGAACTATCGAAAAGTCTCTCTCTCTCATCAAAGACAATGTTGTTTTCTTTCAGTGTTTCAGGAATAAGCAGTGTGTTCTCTAAGATGACTGCCAGCAGGAGGGAGGAAATAACAAAGGTTTTAATCAAACATCTGAAGAATCTTGCTGCACAGCTAAACACACCAGGTGCGTTTCCAGTTAGTCTTGTAGTCATCATTTCTCAGATGCAACTACCTATTCATGAGATCTAACTTTGCTTTTCTAACTAACTTTGCTGTTTGTTGTTTTTTTTCTGTTCAATGTTTGAACAGTTTGCAAAAAGGATATTCACAATGATTCTGAGTGGCTGAATATCAATTTGGGTCTTTTCTCAACAATAGCAGAATACTCTGACATCAAAGATTTGAATATCTCTGGGGTAAATAGATGTCTTTTTATGTTTACTTCAAATTGCTATAACACGCTAGATTTCCAGAGTTTTCTTCTGCATTGGATGCTGTTTTCTTTTAATAATTACAAGAATAAAAAAATGGTTTTTTTTGCCTTAATTACCGTTAGGTGGTGGTTCTGGATTCCCTTTCTCCTGAACAGAAAGCAGAGCTGATACTAGATCCATCCACTGGCGCTCTAGAAAATGAGACGCTATTAAAGGAAGTGATGATGGGTATCCTGTCATCTTCGAGAGAGGAACAGCTCTATACATTTTTTGAGACTTTTTCCAACATCACCAAATCGGTTTGTCATACCTTTTAACATTCACAATGCTTGTAATCTTGTTTTTACTGATTCCGAACATTGTCACAATTGTTCTTTATTTAGACATATTTGGTTTCTACTAGGGAGCCATTCAAGTTATTGTTTCATTTTTGCTTTGAGGATACTTTTTATGATTATTGGTGGGGAAACCTTTTAACCCTGAAGAAGGAATGGATGTAGAAAAATTTAGGGAAATACTGCAATAGATGCTTCTTCAGTCTACTAGAGAACTGAAGTTTGGGAGACTGACACATCCATATGATCTCTTTACTGAACAGTGTGAAAAGCTGGTAGAAACAGTGGCTGTCAGAACCATATTTTATATTATAATAATAAGTTATTTTCATGCTGACAGAAATTTAACTGCAAATGTTGTAAATAAAACTGGTACAGTCAGGTGGTCATATGGTGACAGGTGCTGTTGATGTCCATTAGCGAATACTCACTATACAAATGGTAGACAGGAACAATAGAGCTGCCGAGGGCGTTTGAAGTGGAGGAACATTTTTCAATATTCAATTAATTTTTTGTTATCTTACCTGAGTGCTTACCCATACCTTTGTGTGTTTTCAGAGGAACATAACAAGGATTCCTCCAGCAGTGTCAGAAACCATTCTAAACATGACACTGCTGGCTCTGGTGCCCCGATTCCAGACCTTCATCACACAGGACTTTGCCTTGTGGTTCCAGACCTATCTCCACCTTTTCCTTCCTGGGCTTGGTCCAAACACCCTGTCCGTCATCCCCAGGAACATGAGCTGCAACTCCTATAAAGAAATGTGAGCTTTTACTTTGTCAAAATCACATTTTCTTTAGCATTTACACATTCACACTCATGCTACAGAAAACGTAATTTTGAGTCAGGGTGGGTGCCATATCCACCACAAAGGGTACACTGTTAAAATCAAATAACTATTAATAGTTATGTTTTGTGTGGAGCTATTGTTTTTTATGAGTTCTATCAGCATTGTCTGATTGGCTACATGCAAAAAAATTACAGTTTGCTTTTTATGTTATTTTGACTGCATACTTCTTATATATGGGCATTTCATCAGGTAAGCCTATTGCTCAGGTGCATTTTTACTTTAAGTTTTTCTAGATTCTCTTTATTTCAATCTATGTGTGAAGGTTTTTTTTTATCCATTGCAGAAATCAGCTAGTAGACATAATTCAGTCTGAGTCTGGCTTGTGTCTCTTGGTCTTTTGTAAATAGTTTGGTGAGACCAATTACGAAGTACAAAGGCTGGATTTGACTTATAACTTTGACTGCTGCAAGGAATTACAAATGGAACATTGATAAATGGGAATAATCACAAATGGCAATTTTTTGGTGTCAGAAGGTGCCAGAGATACCAGCAATTATAAATACACAAAATTCTAAAAATCATAAAAGCACAAAAGCAAATACATGAAACAGAAATGTTTTTGTCTGTTGTTGGTGATTGTATTAAATAGTAAGTAAATGTGGCAGTAGTGAACTGGCATGAGTATTTTTCCTTACAGTTCAAGTAATACATTTTTAACATTACACAATCTATTATAAGGGATGTATAATAAGTAATGTATGTTGTACCTTTGTTACTCAAAGACATTTAAAATACTAGTTATTCAAACTAGTTATTGCAAATGATGTCACATCATTGTGGCGTGAAATGCAAAAAGTGATTTTCTACACTGGAAGCTTCTGACTTTTGGCACGTTTTAACAAGAGGTGGGTCTGAGAAGAGGGCGTTCACCTCCACTCTCTATTGGTCAATTGATTTGAAGTGTCAGGTCTTCTAAACACAAAACCACTTACTGTAGTAACAAGAAAAGATTAACATAACGATCTTCATAACCCCAGAACATAATGGCCAACCATGACAGTTCAACTATTGCTTTTTGTAGTGATTAAACATTACTGTCTATCAGCTATATCACGGCAGCAGCGACTCTAGATGGCAATTATCAGTGGTATTTTCCACTCTTTACTGTGTTTTGTCAGTGCTATGTTATTTTTCTTGAATCAGAATTTCCTGACCCTACACACCTGATGCAGCTTATGGAGTGCTGATTAATCAGTTGTTGAGCTGGATCAGATGTATAAAGACAAGGAATATTTGAGGCCTTGAGCTGCACATCACCAGAAACAGAGCTAATAAACACTGATTTAAACAGCTGCATAGCTCGCCTAGTTAGCCCTTTAAGGGACACTGCGCAATCCTACCTGGCAATACTACACTGAGTAGGATGCACTCTGCCATGCGTGTTCAAGGCAAATCACAGCTCTTGGAGTGGGCATTGGCTACGTGTTCAGAAGACCTGTTACTCCAAAACAGCTGCCCAATAGAGTGTGGAGGTGAACGCCCTCCTCTAACACCTGCCCCCTGTTATATATCAGCAAAATCTGCAAAAAAATTGAAGCCAAAACTGGCAAAATCAATAATAAATTTATATAAGAGTGAGAGAAAATGAGACGTGATCTTTTGAAAAAAATCAGTTGATTTAACTGTAATTATTCATGTCATATTTTGGACATTTTGATACTCATTTCTTTGCTTGTGGATTTTGTTTTATTTGAAACTCTTGGTGCAAAATTAACTCCATACCTCTCGCAGCTCTATTCTAGGTCTATTTAGAACGTTTGTGTAAAACTTGTGTCTTCTTATCTGGAGTCAATGATGAGATTATGAAGTTAGGAACTGTTAATCTATTCTATTCTATAGCTTCTGTCTTAAATTCAGTCCTAACTGAAGTTGTTATGGTGACTAAACAGATAAGATTTCAGAGTTAGAGTTTCAGGATTAATGCAGCCTCAAGTTTTGTATCGCACTCCAAAACAAACATACTTACCTTATAATATGGAATAACAGCACAATCAACATTTCCAACAGTTCCCCCAACAAATTGAATGTTCTCTGCTTCTTTGGAAGTTGGTCCGCTGCGAGTAGCCACAGAACTCCAATATCTTTTCTGGAAAGAAACTGAATAATGAGGCAAGAACTCTACAACTGAAGCTCTGTAGGTTAAACAACAAGAATTGTTTTGTTCAAACATTCAGAAACCCAGAATCAAAATAAGACACTTACCGGACAAACTAATGTAAACACTTCTGGCAATTAATTAATGCTCATTAGAATCAGGAAGTATCGCCGCAGGCTAAACGTGAGCTAACGTGCTAACCACTAGCAAATGTGCAAACCGCAAGCTAACGTGATAACCGCGAGCTAACGCGCTAACCCGGAGCTTACGCTCTAAACGCGAGCTAAGGCGCTAACCACAAGCTAACGCGCTAACCGTGAGCTAACATGGTAACCGCGAGCTAACGCGCTAACCGCGAGCTAACGCGGTAGCCCTAAGCAAACGTTCTAACCGCGAGCTAACGCGCTAGGCCCCGAGCAAACGTGCTAACGCGCTAGCCCCGAGCTTACGCGCTAAACGCAAGCTAACGTGCTAACCGCGAGCTAACGCGCTAGCCCTGAGGTATTTGAGCCATTTACCAACTTCTTGCGAATTTTAAATAGAATAAGCACTAGTGATGCATCAATAGCTAAAGAAATAGACTAACTAAGCCTTGAGCTGAGCGCCACTGAGCCAGCAAGTGCTTTTCGAGTGTTGTACTGTCATTGTCATCAGCTGTAGTTAACTTTAGCATTAGCTGCAAGTAACTTTATTTCACATACTACTTTTAGATTATTTTAGATGATCTCATTTTAGATAGTCTCATTAAACTAAAAGTACACATCACAAGTACTGTAATTGTGTAAACATGCTTGTTTAAGCATAATTCTTAACTTATTATTTCTCGTTTTTATCTGTTTTCTGTTCAAACCTAGCTGCTGGCTTGTCTATTTAAAACATAAGATGAATTTTGGGTGGGAACAATCTGTTAAAGGGGAATTCCACCAAGTTTTTAAAATGTGTGCATAATTAAATGGTTAAGATCTAAATAAAGTCACTCAGAGTGATTTAATTTGAGATGCTTTATTCTAGAGAAGCTTACAGCATCAGAATTGTTCACAGTGGAGGTGATAGGAACCAGACAGTTACTGAATCAAATATGTAAGTAATCAAGTGAAATATGTGAGTGACTGACTGAGTAACATTTGTGACATATGCCCATAACTGTGAAATATGTCAGTATGTGAACGAAATGTCAGTAACAGTGAAATTTATCAGTAACTAAGTAATAATGGTAGTAGTGACATGTCAGTTACTGAGTGAAATATGTCAGTAAGTGAAATGTCAGTTACTGAGTGAAATATGTCAGTAACTAAGTGAAACATGTCGGTAACTGAGTAAAATCTGTCAGTAAGTTAGTGAATTAGGTCAGTTACTGAGTGAAATATGTCAGTATGTGAATTATGTCAATTACTGAGTGATATGTCAGTAAGGTATTGAATTATGTCAGTTACTGAGTGATATGTCATTAAGTGAAATGTCAGTTACTGAGTGAAATATGTCAGTAAGTGAAATATGTCAGTTACTGAGTGAAATATATCAGTAAGTAAGTGAAATATGTCAGCAACTGAGTGAAATACGTCAGTGTTTTTTATTCTGGAACAGCTCTTCCTGTTTTCCATGACATTCTGTGGAAAATAATTTTGATTTTCTGATTCTAATTACTTTCATTCTTTTCCTTGTCTTTCCAGAGTGAAAGGATTTTACGATGTGTACAGTGACCTCTCAGTGACTCAGTCTGGGCAGATCTTCAGTTTCATACAAGACTATCTTCAGCACCAGTCCAGTCAAGGTGTGTGTTGCCATGTGTTAGTGTGCATGTATGTATGAATGAATGTTGAAGAGAGATGTTCTTCACAGAACTTGTTTGGTTGCTGTGTCCCACAGGACCAAATAGTTTGCGCTGTTATGGCAGCGGGAGCTTCTATGTCTTCCTCAAGAACTCCTTCCTCAGTTTTGGATTTCCTGACCTGAGTGCCTTTTTGTCTCTCATCCCAGCCAACCGACAGCAAGAGGTACTGCTGAGGAAAATGCAGGATTTAGAGTAATACAGTCAATGAGTCATTCAGTAATACTGTTAGTAACCAGTCATTAGTAAATCAGTCAGTCAGTAATGGTGAAAGTCTACATGTTTCTCTCTCTATAGTTAATGTCTTGTCTTTTCTGTTCTGTAGCTGTTGGGCTCCATTACACCAGGAGAACTGTATGAGTTTCTGAATGGGCCGAACACAGTCAGGAACGGGTCAGATCTCTGCACACTCCTCAACAACTACAACAGCACCAATCAGTACCTGGAGACGGTACAGCTTTTCTTTCATTCATTTCTGCTGTTTCTCACTCAGTTTCACTCTCTTAGAGTTGTGTAATGCAGTGATCCATATGTAAATCTTTCTTTCTCTCTTTTTCCTCCCTCTGTTTCTCTGTGCAGGAGCCAGTTGGATCTGCAGCTGTGGGCAGACAGACGTTGGGGTGCGTTTGGTCTCGTGCTCTCAGTGTGTCGTCTCAGGCTGAGGTGGATCAGTGGTTTAATGTCAGACTGGTTAAGTACCTGCCCTTCCTCAGCTCCCAGCTCATCAGCCCCACTCAGCTAAACAATGCCTCGTGCCTGTCATACAGGAAATTGTGAGTGTAGCTTACAATTTACACTCTCACACTGTTGCCTACAAGGTAGAGTTTGACTTCAGTGGAAATAATACCTATGTTTTTATTTTTGTTCAGTGTTTCAATCCTGGGGAAGAGCTATAATTACTCAGCCACTGATTTCGCCCCAGCTGATGTGTACAGCTCTATTAAGGCTTATCTGAACAGCAGCGGTAAGCACAGTCAATTGCTCTATTTCCATCTGTGCTGAGAAGACACTACACATTTGTGCATATTTACGTTCACATATGTTTATATATGCACATTTTTTGTGTACCGTGCAGATGGCACTCCCCGCTGCTATAACTCCTCCAATGCCCTTCTGAACTCCACTGCCTGGTTTGCTAACAACATTGGCTCCTTCATCACCTTCATCTCCCTCACTGACCTCCAGTCCTTCGTGTCAGACAGCCAGGTAACTCACTCACACATTGAAAAACTTTATTCATGTTATCTCTCAAGGCAGTATGTACAGAGACATATTGATCTTGAAATTTTTGAACTGAGTCTGATTGTGTTCTGTAGATTGGTGTGTTCTTGGAAAACTCAGAGAATATGCAGCTGTTTAACAACTCACAAATTGCAGCCAATGTCACCACATACTACGGCACACAGCTATACATCCAGAATCCTAACTTCAGTCCCCTCAGGTGCCACTCTACACACTAAATACTACAGCTATACATCCAGAATCCTAACTTCACCTCTGTAATGTTGCAGTATGGTCTTAAATAGCATCCCTCTCACTTGAATACCTAATCTTCTTTGGCTTTTTCTCTGTGTAGATTGCCAGGTGTGCTCTTGTGTGGAGCTCCTGCCTCTGTGTTTGTGTCTATTGGAGCTGCAGACAGCAAAACCTTCTTGGAGATCATTAACAAATTCTGCAGTGGAATTGATCCACAGGTGCTTGTTCATTAATTAAGCTATTAAACTTTTAAGACCGATGCAAAACAATTTCTGCTGTTTAACCTTTCATAACAATTGCTCAATGCTGCTGTTGCATTTATTTGATATATAAAGAATGTGATCAAACAAATCCAGAAATTCATAGATTTGTAATTGTGCTTGTGTTTCCCAAAATACAGTTGTAATTTTTTTTTAAATCTCGGAGAATCCAGCAATAAAGGAAACCTTGTGCATCTTTTATATGATAATAAAAAACATGGCAGCACACAGATAGCTCTGGATCTGCATGTTGATATTTTTCATTTTGGTCAACGTGGATGTGCATGCAGGGTAACTCCCCTGGCAGCAGATCTAAACAAGCTAAAGGGACCAAATGCTCAGAATAGATTCCCATCGAGATGTTCAGTTTTCAGTGAGGTTAGTGGTCTCTGTCCCTGTAATGTAGTGTGAAAAATGTTAACGGCCAGTCCAAATAAATCGACATCAGAAAGTCAGTTGGACAAGCAAGCCATCTACATATCTGTCACACTCTATCTCAATATATACATATTTTCCTGTAAGCCTGCTGTTTATTTGTTGCATTAATTTACTGGTGCAGTTTTCTGGAGTTTCAGTTACCCCTAATCTTCCTTTTCTTTCAGGTCTCAACAGCACTAGTTGCGAACTTCCCCACTTTATCCACATCCACCATCCAGATGTTTGGCAACCAGAGCACTGGTCTGACCCAGGGCCAGATAAGCTCTGCTCCCCCCACTCTCATAAACAGCTCTTTGTCCATGCTCAGCAATGTCATAGGCTGGAACCAGGGTCAGGTCAACGTTCTCATCCAGATCCTCATTAAAGTGGGCTTTAATGTGAGTGTTGGCTTTAATACTGCTTATAGCATCTGTCGAAAAACTATAGACCCACCACAGCAGCTTAACATGCTTCCTATTAGTTTACATAACTGATGTACTTACATTATAATTGGATGATGTCTGACAGATCAACAGTGCCGCTTCCCTGGTGAATCTCGGCACACTCATTGGAGGTGTTCCCTCGGCAACCATTTCCAGCATTCCATCCTCTCAGCTTCTGACCATATCCCAGAATCCAACATTCATCAACAACATTTTGTCAGCACCAGTGATTCTGCAACAGACATATGTCCAGAAGGTACTCGTTCATAGACACATACACTTATTTTGTCAATCCTTGTGGCCCTTTTTATGGCTGGTATGATCATCCCAGTCTTGAGTGATCACAAAAGAAAAGAAAAAGAGCTGCTTTCTTCTTTGTTGTGATGACACAGTTGATTAGACTGACAGTTGTTGCTGTCGGGGACACATCAAGACACTTTAGTGGTCACAATCTAAATGTTATTTGGTCATATGTGTCTCTGACCACCTCAGAAGGTCATTTGATTGATTGGATCAGAGTGCATCTACAAGACTCATAGGACAATGTTCACATCAGTACCTGAAGCTGTCCACCAATGATTAAATCACTCAAAATGTATGTTAATGCCAGGTGTGAACAGAAGGTCTGAACCAAATGAAAGCAAACAAGCTTTAACTAGATAATGCTGGACTAAACTGGAAAAAGTGGAATGCAAAACAAGAAAACTTCTCTGTTATGCATCCAAAACATATGCAACACTTTATATATGCAACATGACAGGATCCAGAACAAGAAAAATTCAAACTAGACTACATACACTTCACTTTGTTACTGAAGAATTATTTGCTTAGGAAACCTAAGTATAAAATTAATCTAGCAGAATTTAGTTACTTTCTAAAGTTCCTCTTCTACTCTTTATTCTAGATTGTCTCTGTAGACCAGAACAAGGTGGTGGAGAATGTTCCAGATGCTTTGGCAGCGTATATCCAACCCGTGCTACTGGCATATTTGAAATTTGTTAATGTTACACTCATCAATAAGAAGAGCTGGAGTCAACAGCAGGTAACAGATTATACACGCAGAGACAAACAAATCCAAATACTAACCTGTAAAAACAGGTTAAAAACAGAGTTCATGTAGCTCTCAAATATATCTGTTTTGATTTTTTGTATGTTTGTTTACTAGGCTGCTGTGGTGTTTGGAGCAGTTTCTAGAGCCACTCAGGATACAGAAGGGTGAGTTACATACTCATGTACATGCAGAGATGTATGTATGCATGTGCTCTTAAAAGAAAATGAACATGCATAGCTGTAACACACTCATATTTCTTGCCAGTAACCATTCAAAACATTGACAAACCTTTGAGGAAATGGAGATGGCCTATTTGCCTGTAACCACCTTAGCCTGTTTGCAGTGCCCCTGACTTGTAACCCCAATGTAGCTTGACCCTGGCTAACTGTGACTAAATTCAATCCTGACTAACCATGATGAACCCTGATCTGACCTTGCCTAACTCTGGCTAATTTGAGTAACCTTTGCTGAGCTTGACTATCCGTGTCCTTGAGTAACCTCGACTGACCTTAAACTATGACTAACTAATCCTGATGAACCATGACGCATACTAACTTTTGACTAACTGACTAACCCTAATCTTGAATAACCCTGAGTAACCCTAAATCTGATCAATAATGACCCTGATTAACCTTTCCCCTGATTGACATTAACTAACTCTAATTTTCACTATCCCTAACCCTGCCTAACCTTGAGTAACCCTGATTAATCTAGACTAAAATTGACCAACTAACTCTAACTTTAAGTAACCCTGACCAACTCTTTTCCTGACTGATGCTGACTAACTCTGACTAACCTTGATTAATCCTTGTTAAGCTTAACTTTGAGTAACTCTTACCCTGACTAACCTTTACTAACCTTGGCCCTGACTGATTTTGACACATCCTGTTGACAAATGCTGACAAATCCTGAATAATCTTGAGTAATCTTGACTAATCCTGATCCTTCGCCTCAATCACCATCACGCTGACCAACCATGATCCTAATTAACCCTGACCTTGACTAATCCTGACCCATACTATTCTTGACTAATCCTAACCTGACTAGCCCTAATCTTAAATAACCCTGAGTAACCCTAAATCTGACTAACAATGACCCTGATTAACTCCTCCCCTGAGTGACATTAACAAACTCCGACTTATTTTTGATTATCCCGAAACCTGACTAACTTTGACTAATCCTCATTAAGATTAACTTTGACTAATTCTGACCTTGACTAACCTTTAATAACCCTGGCCTTGACTAACTCTGATTCCGACCTATGCTGATAAATCCTGAACCTGACTAATCTTGACTAAGTCTAATTCTGAGTAACCTTGACTAACCCTGATCCTTACTGTGTCATGGATGACTTTGATACTGATTATCTGTGACCTTGAAAAACCTTAAATAACACTGACCTTTACAAAATCTTTACTAACCTTTGCCCTAATCAGCATCATGCTGACCAACCATGATCCTGATTAGCCCTGACCTTGAGTAACCCTGACCCTGACTAAATCTTGCTCTGAGTAACCCTTGCCCTAATAAACCATTGTTGAGACCAACCATGATCCTGATTTACCCAGACCTTGACTAACCTTCACTAACTCTGATCCTGACTAACCCTAATCCATACTAACCCAGACTTTGAATAACCTTGACTAACCCTGACCCTGATTGTTCCTGATCCTCATTAACCCTAACCTTGAATAACCTTGACTAATCCTGAGCCTGATTGTCCCTGATCCTATATTAACCCTGACTTTGAATAACCTTGACTAACTCTGATCCTGACTAACCCTAATCCATACTAACCCAGACT